AAAAAAAAAAAAACACATACCATGTAATCCTTAGTAATGCACTAATTTTTTTCGGCATTTGAAATTGACATTAGTATGACCCTTGTATACAAAGTTGATAGAATGTATTGTTTCAGTGAATTTAAAACCTAGTGGATATCCAACAATATAAAATTCGTAGACTTTATCTCCCTATAATATATCCTACTTTCGTTTGCAGTGATATTGCTATTCATGAAATAAAACTCTTGAAACATGTGGACATGTAATTCAACAGTATGCCATTTTATACATCTAATACATTAATGTATACACTGTATTTGGACTATAGAGGGCGCAACCTTGAAGCACAGGACTGCTTTAAAATTTGTCAATGTACAAATTTTGATCGAATCAATATTTCAGCATTAGCGTCTCAAAATTTCATCCACGCTGAAGCCTTTGAAATATCAAACAGGCAAACATTTCTGGCAGACCCAGTCTAGCACCCTCTAATGTCACGGTGTGAACAGAGTATTATAAAAAGCACATAAATTTACAACAATAAAAAGCAACAAGTACACTATTTTCAAGTAGGATTGCCTTTCCAGTAATACACTTATTTACATCTTAAGCTTGGCAAAGGTTTCATTTAAAAAAAAAGGCAAAATTTTAGATCATGGCGAAAAAGGCAGCATGTAATATTAAATAGCTTTAACAATTACTTGTAATTGACATAAAACAAAATATAAGCAGCATAGTATCCCATCATGCAACAGTTGCATCAATTTAGATCAACGTTGCAGACCTATAGTTGAGACAAAGCAGGGTAGAGATCATACGGTTCTTAAAAGCAGATGACGTCAAAACTCCAACTCTTCCCAAACAATACTTTTGTAGGTAGGGCTGTGGATAATTGAACTCGTGCACAGCAAACATAATTACCAACCCTTTAAAGTGAGGTATTAAATTACTTTTGACACAATCCCCCTGTAAGAGAAGAGTATATTAGTTGTGCACAAGTTTCAATTGTCCAGGCAGAAATTATTTGTTTAAACTGTAAAACTGAGCATCATCAGATACAGACATATATGAAAAGGTTGAATATCATTACCGGTAATCAAGTTGATAACAGCATGTACTGTAAAATCTGTATTAGAAGCCATGGTTTCTATTAAAATCGTACAATGCAACAGAGGGGATGCGGCTTCTAATAGAGAATCTACAATCTCAATTGTTTAAGACGAATGGATGCAGCTTCTAATACAATATGGTTAAAGGCCATATTGTATTTTGTGCACATCGCATTGACATACATCTCGCACATGCGCAATGCAACGATCACTGCCCTTCCAACCATGAAGTGAAGAGAAAACACAGCATTATTGCAGACAGGATCAGAGAATGCTATCTCACTATATCATAAACTGTTGACCATAATAAAACATTCACAGTTACAATACATTACAGTTTAGGTCAAAGTTGGATTAAACTCCTTCGAAACGGGGGAATAAAAGCATTGAGCAAAAATTATAATGGGTACATATTCAGCAGTTTACACAGATTTCGAGTGCATTTAATAGACCATTTTCCGTTCACCGTGCTATCCCACGTTATGTGTGAAATCGAACGTAAAAACAGGACAAAGGTCATAGCGTCGCAGTGGCATCTAGCATCGCGTGGGATTCGACAAACGTGAAAGTATTATAGGGGAAATTAATGTGCTGTTCACATTTGATGATGGTTAATTTCGATGAAGTAAGGGTATTCAAATGCAATATTCCCCTGTCATAGATCGGTCTTTCGAAGTGAGCGACGAAATAAAGAAATTTTTGTTCAAAATCAAATTGTTTGATTTTTGCGGCAGACGTTCGGCGCACGTCTTTCACACAACTCGCGTGATCTCGCATTTGAACGGAAAATCATCTATTTGAAAGTGTGAATGATTGAATAATAAGATGGTATAATCAAAGCTGACAAATTCAAGCTACTTTATGATCTGTATACATGTAACAATAAATCTCCACAGCGCAATTAATATTCATACATTGTATCATTGCACACAAGTTATTAATATATATAAAACTATTTGCAATCATTTTTACATGAAGCAATTTTTTGGCATTGTTTAATTTTTTTTTGAGAAATAAAAACTATAAAAAACAAAAAAAATATGTGAAAAATCAAAAAACAAATTTCATAGTTGCAATTATCGTGCATAAATTATTAAAACAATATATACTATAAAAGTGCAATATTTTTCAAAAAATAATCACACTGATTTTTTTTATATCACATAAATGTAGACAACCATACTCAAAACAGCAGCAATTCAGTGGAAGATGATTTATGTAAAAAATGTAAATTATGCAATAAACCATGTATTAAAAATCCTGGTGGAACAGAGAAGAATAGAATTTTGAAAGATACATTAGTACAAGTTTACTACTATGATTATCTTGATGATATTGACTAATTACTTACTACTAAATATTACAGCATCTACTACACAGCTACATAAGTTTACATTTTATTTTACAAACTTAGAATTGACCAGTGATCTTATTTTGCTTGTGAGCCAAACCAACTATGTGAAAATGCATCCCAAGAACAAATAGTTTTCAATTGAAATAAAATCTGCATAAGTGGGAGTTTGATTAATGCATTTTTTGTTTGGTTTGCATGATAAATTTAGTTCTATCATGTTAGAGGTACTGGAGGGTCTATGGTTCTACCATGTTAAAACAGTTTTCATTAAGGTAAAAGCAGTTCCATTATCTTAAAATCGGTTCCATCATATTATAAAACCAGTTCTCCCAAGTTAAAACCGGTTCCATCTCGTTAAAACCGGTTCCATCATGTTATAAAACCAGTTCTCCCATGTTAAAACCGGTTCCATCTCGTTAAAACGGTTCCATCATGTTATAAAACAATTTATCAAACACCTCGTATTGCCCGGCCTCGCAATGTTATGGGAAGTGTACCCTCAAACCAGGGCAATAATTTCCCGTATCACGCCTGGCCCAGCGTGCCCAGCTTTCATCAATCAAAACAAAACAGTCATTCTAAATTACGTTGTCTGTTTTAGGTCACGCCATGATAAATTATAATTACACCTATAAGGTGTATGATAACACCTATATGGACTGGATACAGCTTTTGCTGCCCTCGGTTGTATGGCTCGGGAGTTCCCGCAGCACGACCTCAGGCCGCAAAAGCTGTATCCAGTCTATAAAGAATATTCCACCATGATAAAAAATAGTTTTAGCATGTTAAAACTAGTTCCATGACCCACCCGCTATTGTCATATTCCTATATAATCTGCAAAATAGAGAGAATTATCTACAAAATTTTCTTTTACAATAAATTACCTATTTGTGACAATACAATAAAACTGCATTGTTAATTTGAATTGTTCCTATCCAGTCAATGTCATGATATGACCCAATATTTTATAAGAGTGGGCTATTAACAGGTCTAATGGAATCACAATTGTTATTATCGTGGAAGTTATATATATTTTGACATTGATAAAAGTGAAGACAAGGAGTCAGACATGTGCAACACATACTGAGTCTGAGTATCTAATTATACGGTATACTAACATTCATAAAACGATCTGCAATGCACTGACCAATGACCAATCAAGTACAAGTTGACTAAATATGTAAACACAAGTTGTTGCTCAGGTGACGTATTTGACCAATGAAAATACTGAAATTCAATCATGTGATACACCTTGACCAATCACTTTTTTGTTAACTATGTGATGTGTCTGACCAATCAAACTTCAAGATACAACTCATGTGATAAATCTGTGATGTATTCCACCAAACAAGAACGTCATAAAAGAGATAGTTATTTTGATTTAGCCCATAATACTGCAGTCTTGTCAGCACTGGAGGTCAGGAACGTCAGATCTGTGGGATGCCAGCGACACTGTATAACTTTATCTTTATGTTCTGCCACGACTGATGATACTAGCGGCTTAGTTAAGTCACCTGAAACATTGAAGAACATTGGAATTTTAAATTTGTAAATCTGACAAAAAGAAAAAAAAACATTTGTGACATATTTCAATTTTTTTTTAGTTCAAGCTAAAATTTGTCTATTTATGTCTTATAAAACGAGTGACCATGCATTGCTTAAGACAGAGCTGCAATAAATTTTATTTGCTGCCAGTCGGCCATTTTTGTGAAACAAATGCATATCTACGACTTCATATACTGTGAAATACTTTATTTTCGCTGAAGGAATGATTCAGTGAAAATAAAATCCAGCGAATATACTTTTTTTTCCTATATTTTACATTCAACTCATCAAAAATCCAGCTAATTCCAGCTAAAATAAGTTATTTTACAGTATTGCTCTTTTGCCTGGTTTCCAAAAGTTTAATGTCTGAGAAATAAGAGCATGGAATACAACGCGTGCAAGGCAGTGGCCTTAACCAATTATCATAATTATAATATCTCAAAAGAAAGCTATCGTATAATATACTAAATATTATTTATTGTTTTCTCACCTTTCAGACTGGTTTCAATAACAGTCTGATCATAGGAGCCAGTCAATAAACAGTAGGAGTTAGGTGCAAATTTTGCGGACCTCACTTCATCTTGATGTGGAGAAAAGGTCTGTACGATACGAGCACCTCGTATGTCATATAACATGACAGTGCCGTCCTCTTGACTAGAGGCTAGCAGCCGATCAGTCGGATCAACGCACACTGCTGCTACAGGACTTCCTGATAGTAAGAAGAAAATAGACAAGAGTCAGTTCTGTTCTTAATTTTGATAGCATTTGTGGACATTGTGCAAATAAGGCCCTCTATCTTAATCAAGATTAAATTGACACACCTAAGAAGTATTTATATCTTTACTTCTGTCTGATTCAGGTCTACCAATAAAATGGACACACCTAGGGGGTACTGAAATCTTGTCTGATCCAGGACTACGAATAACATGGACACACCTAGGGGGTATTTAAATTTTACCTTATCCTGTCTGATCCAAGACTGTCGGAAACATTGACACATTTAGGGGGTATTTAAATCTTACCTTCTCCTCTGTCTGATCCAGGACTACCAATAATATTGACACACCTAAGGGGTATTTAAATCTTACCTTCTCCTCTGTCTGATCCAGGACTACCGATAACATTGACACACCTAGGGGTTCTTAAATCCCAGAATCTAATAGTCTTATCTTGGGCACCAGACGCCAACATACAGGACGCCCAGGCATGCAAGGAGAGCACATGACCTGTGAATAAAATTTAATGATACCTGTTAAAAGTATTGTGGGTATTGTATTAACTATTATTGGGAGAACACAGGCAGGGTTCTGCCAAGCCTATCAAAAATGTTACAGTAGATTCAGGTGCCGATTTGACGCTGATGTACCGTCACATGTTACTACAATCAAAGCAGAGGAGTCGTCACCTGCGCATGCGTCAGATGGCCATAGCGTGTCACTGTTTACAAACAAATGTCTACCCATGAGCCTTTGCGTTTTTAGTGTGTTGTTATCGTCACTTGGGACTCAATCCCGTGCGTGCGCAGGTGACGACCCTCCCGCTTTAATTTGTTAGTTTTTGATCTTTACTATTATGAGCTTCATATGTTATAGACTTTATTTTCAAAGTTCGATAAGAAAGTGCTCAACCCATGAATACCTTAGAAAATTTGTATAGTTTGCATAAATTAAAATATGACTTACCACTGTGCCCTGTCAGACTCTGTATACCTTCACCTCTGTTACAATCTGTCATATATATGGAGCAGTCACCAGCGCCCCCACTCAGCAGGATTGGTATACTGTTAGGATCCTGTATGAACATCACATCACGAACTGTCCCATCATGCATTGTTAGTTCAGTATCAGGACCTATAGGATTAATAATATGATGTTGATGAGAAAATAGGTTGCTTTTAGTGAATAATAATACTTTATGTTCAATATTTCTTTAGTTACTGTATTAGACTTGTTCAAAGATCTGAACTACCGGTAAGTTCAATGAAAATAAACAGATTAGAAATTTCCATTTCATGTTAAATTATGAGACTTTACTAGAAATAACCATAGATACATTTGTAGTTTTGTGAGCAGATATTTTACAGCAGACACAAAAATAATCACCATCTCTCTATCAATTTTCCTGCGAATATTGAAAAAAATCGCTTGGAGGAATCATGGTGGTGTTTGTTATTATTATTTGTTATGACTTTCCATTCAACCCTTGCATATCAAAATTACAAACTGTATTTGATGGGGTGTTGAAATTAAATTGTATGTTTGCGATCAAATAATAATTTGTATAGATTGC